GCTCTATATAGTGATTGAATGGTTAGAGCGCATATTCAGAAACAGCCTGGGATTTACAAATGTATTGCACCACCTCTCCTATTTATATACTGTAGAGCACTTCTTCATAGATGCAAACTATATTTGGTTGCCTTGTACTTGTGACAGTGTAAAGACAATAAAGTTGAATTCTAATCTATTATACAAAGACACCCACTGTTTAGGAGGTGTCTAGTAGCAAAGGTTGCATGTTTAAATTACTTATATAAATTGTAACACATTACTGAATATGCTCATTTGCCTTTTTTATTTAATTTTAAACTATTGTAAGAATGGCAATGATAAAAAAAAGAAACTCAGATCATGAGATTTCTTGTCAAAGGGAAATATTTTGGGCCCAGCATATGAAGCAGTGGACTTTGTGCTTATTTACTCCTATTTCGTTTTGTATACACTCTGTGTATAATAAATGACAATAAAGTTGTCTAACTGCTAAGTCTATTTTGAAAGGAAGCATTTCTTGAGTTTCTGTGTTGTTTTGATCTCCACCAAGTTAAGATTGATTATTCTGTGGTATTTTTTGGTGCTCGTTAGTAAAACAACCAGCTGGAGGGACTTATTTTTCAATGTTTGTATCAGCAAAGCTTTATCATCTAACTACGCTCAATTTCTACATCGGCCTGGTTACTTTCTGTTTGAGGTAAAAGGTAGTGCCAATAATAATGACTTTACTTTCTCCCTGTTAAACTTGCCTCATTTGCTTTGAAGAAGAATGTGTGCTATCTGAAATATTTACTCTATTAATTTATTTAGTTTTAAATCAGATCCTATTTTTTTTAATCCAATTTTACCACTTATATCATGAATGGGACATATTATTACTTCCTTAATCAATCGCATGCATTGGAATTGAAGGTTTTAACAGTACAAAGAATGAAGAATCTTCTTTTTTTTCAAAATGATCTCAAATTAAAAAAAAATAGATTTGTTTTTAAACAGGGCAGGGTTGCAGATTTGGATTTAGAAGTACACTTTAAAAAGAAAATGCAGCTCCAACTTAAATCAACTGCATCAAATGATAACAAGTTTATTGAATTAAGTTTGCCCAACTAACCCTAACCCTTTTCAGATGATAAACTTAAAAACAAGTTGGATCAACTTGATTTAACTACCTGTTACCAAATACAATTAATTGAAGTCGGAGCTGTGAATAATTAGCCAGCAATCACTGAAAGCATCTTTATAAACTTTATAAAGATAAATAAATGAAAAAAAAAAAACTACAATCAACATTTTTCTTTTTGCCAAAGCTCAGATCAGGTAGCGTGTGTCATTTTTCTTGTCCATCTCCAGACCTCTAAACAATTTCTTCTTTCTGCTTGCAGGTTTTCTTTGTGTCCGACTTGTTTAGACCCAAAGGAAGACGCTCTGCTTTGTCCCAAACGCCGGTGAAGAAAGATCTCATTCCTGCAGCAGACATCAGGGAGCGGGGCAACCCTCTTATCATGGCGTGAAAGAAAGCCTGCCAAACTGACTGCAAACAATCCATGAGCAGAGCTGTGCCTTTATGTTTTTTCTACAGCCACTAGTTCTTACTGGATAAAAATCAACACTGTGGAAACTGCAGTAGAGAACCAGAGGAAAGAGTTAAGCAAGTTCTACTTTCTGAAAGGACATTTTTTAATCTGTTTCCTTAACTTCACCAGGCATGTGAATGTGTGGAAAGGAGAGATGACCTTTTTTTTTTGTAACCAAAGGAGTGTTTGACCTTCTCTCCTATTGTGAAAATTGCTGCACGTTCACCATTGTTGAGACTTTTTTGCTAAACAAAAGTCGGAAATCAAGCAAAACGTATAAATGGCAGCTGCTTACAAAGCTGTATGCGGCTTTAGTGCATTTCATCCCGCATTTAGCATGGGAGCTTCAGTCATATTCCTGCTCCTCAGAGTGTGACTCATTGTAGGACAAAAAAACCCAAAAAACAAATTCCTCTATTTCAGGAAGGATATTGTCTGTTTGGTCATATAACAAGACAGTATGTGTGATTTTTAAGCACTATTTTAGTTCAGTATTGTTCGTCACCACTTGAATGACTTTTTAAAAAGCTTTTAGAAAGCTTTGCCTCAGTTCAGTGTTCAGATGTTACAGTCATGTGGAAAATACGGTGAGGGTGTGTGTGTTTGGGTTTTGGATGTGGGCCTCGTTCTGCTGGAAAGGATGAGCCCCTACTGAGCCATTTAATGAAACGGCTGTCTTTTACATGTGCCAGACGGGTGGTCACATGTGTTAGGTCAGAGCTTGAGTGTTTGCTTGTGTTTTAATGTACCTTCGTTTCTTAAGGTCAGGTCCGTATGTTTCAGCATTTATGGCAGAAAAGTATGACACAAATGGGCACCTGTTCTCACAGATGCATGCACCAGGAGACAAGAATGCCTGTGAATAATATGATTTTATCACATGTACATCTTACTTATTGATTATCCATAACAGTGAAAGTAAACACACACAATTGAGATGGTAGGAGGGATGCATAAACGAGTGACTGACAGATTTTAAAATCAGAGGCCCACCCTTTTCCCCTTTTAGCGAATGCACCATAACTAAGTCTAAAAGGTTGTAGAAAGAGCAACAATTTTCAGTGAGGATTAGTAACTCAACTTTAGTGATTTACCAAATCTATGGAGGCGAGCTAGCTGCTCATTTAGCTAAAATCCTTTCAGTTGAGGTCAAAACCTCCCATGCACCATTCATTTTTTTATGGTCTGATGCAAACAGAAGATGCTAACCCATTATCTCCCTTATTTTTTCTTCATGTTTGACAGTGACCACTTTGTCAAACACAACTTGATGACAAAATTAAGTTGTCTGCTCCATTTTAATAATAAATAATGATTGTGTACAGGAGTCAAAATTGGCAAAATTGTATCAAGGGTGTTACACAAAGCTTTGAAACTACAACCTATAAGGTAATTTGATTGTGTTTTGCAATCAAATTACCTTATAGCATATATATTAGGGATGGANCTTTATTGTGTTTATTTATTGTATTTTATTTATTAATGAAAATATTTCTGTTGAATTTTGGAGTCTTTGTTTTTATCCTTGTGGTATCGAAAATGGTATCGAGTATCGAATATTTTCCTTAGTATCGGTATCGAGTTGAAAAGTTTAGGATCGTGACAACCCTAGTACTATCTCAAATAGTTACTCTATTCATTTATTTAGTTTTAAATCACAGCCTATTTTTGTGAACCCAATTTTACCTCTTGCATCTTTAATGTGATATATTATAACTACCTTAAACAATGGCATGCATTAAAATTGAAGATGTTAACAGTACAAAGAATAAAGAAACTTCATATTTCTAAATGGTCTCACTAGATTTGTTTTTAAACAGGGCAGGATTGCAGATTTGGAGTTAGAAGTACACTCTAAATAAGAAAATGCAGCTCCAAAGTAAATCAATTGGTAAGAAGTTATTGAATTAAGTTTGCCCAACTTTATTTATCTAAATTATCAAATTATAATCTTTTTAAAAAGTTGGTTAAACTTGATTTAAACAGTTGTTACCAAATGCAAATAATTTAAGTTTTAGTTGTAAGTAACTAGCCACCAATCACTGAAAGCATCTTTATAAAATTTATAAAGATAAATAAATGTCAAAAAAATAAAAACTCTACTCTACATTTTTCTTTTTGCTAAAGCTCAGATCAGGTAGCATGTGTCATTTTTCTTGTCCACCTCCAAACCTCTAAACAATTTCTTCTTTCTGCTTGCAGGTTTTCTTTGTGTCCGACTTGTTTAGACCCAAAGGAAGACGCTCTGCTTTGTCCCAAACGCCGGTGAAGAAAGATCTCATTCCTGCAGCAGACATCAGGGAGCGGGGCAACCCTCTTATCATGGCGTGAAAGAAAGCCTGCCAAACTGACTGCAAACAATCCATGAGCAGAGCTGTGCCTTTATGTTTTTTCTACAGCCACTAGTTCTTACTGGATAAAAATCAACACTGTGGAAACTGCAGTAGAGAACCAGAGGAAAGAGTTAAGCAAGTTCTACTTTCTGAAAGGACATTTTTTAATCTGTTTCCTTAACTTCACCAGGCATGTGAATGTGTGGAAAGGAGAGATGACCTTTTTTTTTTGTAACCAAAGGAGTGTTTGACCTTCTCTCCTATTGTGAAAATTGCTGCACGTTCACCATTGTTGAGACTTTTTTGCTAAACAAAAGTCGGAAATCAAGCAAAACGTATAAATGGCAGCTGCTTACAAAGCTGTATGCGGCTTTAGTGCATTTCATCCCGCATTTAGCATGGGAGCTTCAGTCATATTCCTGCTCCTCAGAGTGTGACTCATTGTAGGACAAAAAAACCCAAAAAACAAATTCCTCTATTTCAGGAAGGATATTGTCTGTTTGGTCATATAACAAGACAGTATGTGTGATTTTTAAGCACTATTTTAGTTCAGTATTGTTCGTCACCACTTGAATGACTTTTTAAAAAGCTTTTAGAAAGCTTTGCCTCAGTTCAGTGTTCAGATGTTACAGTCATGTGGAAAATACGGTGAGGGTGTGTGTGTTTGGGTTTTGGATGTGGGCCTCGTTCTGCTGGAAAGGATGAGCCCCTACTGAGCCATTTAATGAAACGGCTGTCTTTTACATGTGCCAGACGGGTGGTCACATGTGTTAGGTCAGAGCTTGAGTGTTTGCTTGTGTTTTAATGTACCTTCGTTTCTTAAGGTCAGGTCCGTATGTTTCAGCATTTATGGCAGAAAAGTATGACACAAATGGGCACCTGTTCTCACAGATGCATGCACCAGGAGACAAGAATGCCTGTGAATAATATGATTTTATCACATGTACATCTTACTTATTGATTATCCATAACAGTGAAAGTAAACACACACAATTGAGATGGTAGGAGGGATGCATAAACGAGTGACTGACAGATTTTAAAATCAGAGGCCCACCCTTTTCCCCTTTTAGCGAATGCACCATAACTAAGTCTAAAAGGTTGTAGAAAGAGCAACAATTTTCAGTGAGGATTAGTAACTCAACTTTAGTGATTTACCAAATCTATGGAGGCGAGCTAGCTGCTCATTTAGCTAAAATCCTTTCAGTTGAGGTCAAAACCTCCCATGCACCATTCATTTTTTTATGGTCTGATGCAAACAGAAGATGCTAACCCATTATCTCCCTTATTTTTTCTTCATGTTTGACAGTGACCACTTTGTCAAACACAACTTGATGACAAAATTAAGTTGTCTGCTCCATTTTAATAATAAATAATGATTGTGTACAGGAGTCAAAATTGGCAAAATTGTATCAAGGGTGTTACACAAAGCTTTGAAACTACAACCTATAAGGTAATTTGATTGTGTTTTGCAATCAAATTACCTTATAGCATATATATTAGGGATGGA